CCTTCTTCTCGGCCCTCCTCAGGCCCATCTTGCCCAACAAAAGGAAATCGTCAAGGTGTGGGTGGCCTGTCAGCTGGCGCAGGGAGGCAGTCGATCTCCCATGACAACTCACAGGGATTCATCAGCGATAAAGTCTCGGTCACACTCGGGGAACCAATCACTGCACCAAGAGTATATGTGTACCAAGCAGCAGTCTGCTTATCAGAGTTCCAATCTTGTGAGAGATCAATGAAAGAATATGAACCACCCCTGCTCACCCTCACTTTCGCCCGATGCTTCTGTAGAGGAATCCACTTCAACTCAAATCCTTTGGGAGAAGTCGTGCCCTTATGCCTATGCTTTCGAGGGGGAGCCTTCACTGCAAAGACCTGTCTCTTATGAAGATGCTCAACCTACAGAAGAACCGATTCCGAAGAGTACGCCACATCGACCGACTCTGCCACCGGCTGCTTCGATGGTTCATCCCCATCTACAAGGGATAGTTGACTTGCAGAGGAACTCCCCATCTCTAGGGATGAATCCTTGCTTGGGAAGAGGATGAGAGGCATCACTTCCAAGGGGCTGCCTAACAATCCCTCCTCCCGCCAACTTAACTCACCTTGGTTGGACTCTGCACCAAATGACCAAGCAATTTTTTTTTGGCGAACGAATATCAAGAACGTCATTATCACAACAATAGAATTTGGCATCATTTGTGCCATAACGACCCCATGGAATTTGAAGGTAGAGCACGACTCCTAGCAAAACGAGAATCAAAGGCTGAGTCAAAACCGATCCTTAAAGATTACCAACTTGTCTTCAAGAGAGTGTTCGCTCTCTCCTCGTTGTCGGCAACCCGGAGACTGACAAAAAGGTCAAGGATGTGTGACTCCTAGTACTGATTGACCTCATCCATAGTCATTTTGGATGATTCAGAAAGACCAGGTACCATGAACTCCATTGGAGAATAGCGCGTGTGAGCCATGTATCACCTAAGGATAGTAAAGGTTATGGGAAAATTGACAATAAAAAACGCATTCATCACCGACAAAGCCCCTTTTATAGGAACAGGAAGACCTCAACCATCACAAGAAGGGCAAAATAAAAAATGAATGTAACAAACTCAAAAGGCAAGCCACAAAAAAATAGAATAGCATGGAAATCAAAAAATAAAAGAAAACTTTTTATTTCTATAAAAAAGAAAAATTATTATAATAACCCTCACAAGCTCAACTCAGAGGAAGAAAGTAACCCACGCAATGGTCCGAAGCAACCTTAGTCTGGAGGTGAGCCAACCAAAGCAGCCTCTGAAGCAAGAACTTTCCCTCATACCTAAACTGACCTAGCGTACTAGACTCGGCCTGAGCTTAGGACATTTAAGACTTCTCCCGCATATCCATGAGTTCGTGGTGGGCAGCGGCCACCATTTGCTTCGTTTCAACGACCTCCTGCTCCATCTTCACCGCATGGGCCGACAAATCTCCTCACCTTGATGTATATTAGTCGCGCCTGCGAAAGAACACTCAACCTAGTTCAGGCGGCGAGGCAGCAACTCGTGGTTTGTTTGAATCTCTTCAGTGATATCATCACAAACCTCCGAAGAAGTTGGAGGATTTTTAGAGCGATTGACTCCCTTGTCCTCGCTAGCGGACCGATCAACCCTTTCCGACTTTTGCTCTCCACCCTCAACTGCACGACCAAATCCTCGTTGAAGTTTAGCCGAGTCGAATATCTGCAACATAAAAAACCAAGAAAGATAGAATTTTGAATGAAAGTGAAAAAAAATTCACCAAATGATGTTGGGGACGCCATGTATCTAAGACTCATCATTTTCGATACCGTAGGCTACTCTGGGTGGACATCTTGTGAAAACAAGGGGGCCGGTTGAATCTCCTTTGGGATCACCCCGAAAGAGCCCACCTGACCTAAAGGGGGGTCTAGTGTCCTCTTGTCTGAGACCTTCCTCCTTTGTTCGCCTCAACGATGCACCTTGCATTTCTCTTTGGCGAACATCCCACGAATCAGGAGCTTGTCTGGGATATCAATTTGACACTTCAATAATTTGTACAACACAAGCTTGCATGTAGCACGAGCTTGAACGCAATAGGAGAACAATCGAGGAAAGGAAGAAGAGCGGGACGAAGGCAAACCTAAAAGGCGTATCATCGCCCTATTTATAACAATATGTGGCTCAAAACTCAAAAGGAGCATTACTCATTAAGGTTGATGATAACCAATCAATAATTAAATTTAATTATCTCATTCAAGGAACTAAAATATGTGCAATAAAAATGTGTTTGACCGAATCTTCCATAGATTTGACGATTCAAAGCAAGTCACGTGTTGAAAGGCTAGGCTCATAAAAAGAATGTAGGATCATTCAAAGAAATACAATCGCACACAAATGACCTGAAGTCGACCAATTAAAGGCCAACTGATCAAAGGCCGACCGACCAAAGGCTAACCAATCAAAGGCTAGACAACTGAAGGCCGACACGTCAGAGGCCAGCCATCCGGAGGCCGACCGACCAAAAAGTTGAATGATCAGAAGTCGGTTGACCGAAGGCTGACCGGTCACCGGTCAGCCGACCGAGAGCCAATCGACCAAGAATTGACCAACCAAAAGCATGAGCTAGCAGGCCTTTATAAAAAATGTTGCCCTAATCAGGATAAGGGCAAAAGATGAGTTGTATACCTCAAAAATGTAAAGGCTTAAAGTCAAAAACATAAAGGGTATAAGGGTCCTTCCACAATAATCCATACCCTCTATAAATAGAAGGACATTCAATATAATAGAGGTTGTTGAAATCTAATACGAATTACCCCATTTCAAGACCTCTCTCTCACACACACACATTTACGTTTTATTCCTTAGGTGTAATTTACAGATAAATCTGGGTTGAACACCACATATGAGAAAAATACAACAAAGTCATTTTCCTGCTTCTACTTAAAGCTACTCACAAACAACCATGTCGTGTATCTTAGTTCTGAGCAATTCTCATTATGCTTTTTTCCAATGCCCTCTCATTTTTTAATATTTTCTACTATCACTTCCTCAATTCCATCATGCGGTCAAACACCCTGAGATAGTAGCATAAAACTTCTTTCTTACAGAGTTTTAAAATTTAGCATGAAATAGCACACATATAATCCTCTACTTAATCGATATATTCATCATCTCAACTATATCAAGTTGAGCTAACACGGGAGCTTACCGCCCGCGTTACTGTTGCAGCTACAGTAACCACGGCCCCCCTTCCTATTCAACCCCTTTCCTTTTCTTTCGTTTCCTTTCTTAATGCTTTCCCATTATAATACATTCCTTCCCTACTTCTTTTATATTTGTCTCCTTGCCTATTATATCTATTTCATATCCTATTATTTACCTATTTTATCTACTAATCTCCTCTTTATATAGGTGTTATTTTCTGAGTTTAGGGAGAGATTGTATGATTGCAGATTTCTCAGTGCTGCCTTAGAGGTGTTCTTCTCCTCCGGTGACTGTACCCAAGAAACGAGAAGGTGCTCCGGTTGTAGCTCGACCCTTTCAGCTGTTATCCAACCCACGTCATCCCTCTTCCAGGTGTTGCCTAGCCTTACGTCTGCTATCCAGAATATCACCACTAAGAGTAATTATATTCATCGAGCACACATCAATATGAATTATATCAAACACATTATATGGTCTATATGGCTCTAAGCAAGGAAAAAACCATATGTTTTTTACTAGTTTAGCAATGAGCTCAAGGTTCACAATGGAAACATCATTCAAAATCTTTTGATAGTTGCGCAAGTGCTCGAAGGTGTTTACTTTTTATGAGCTCCACATTTTGATCCTACTACCTCTCATAGTGTCCCTCCGACTTTAACAATACCTTGTAGTCATCAGCATCTAAAGCGATGTAATGAAACATACTTTGATCATATCATTGGCAAACTTACTCTATAGCCTTCGAGTTCAATAACTCCATTCATCCTCAGGTTCTTCTTGTAGCATCAGTCATTTATGTTTGATGGGATGATGTAACCCATTGCAATACAAAATATCTTTCATTCTCATCTTCCATACTCAACATATCCTCCATTGCACAAAAACAACGAAGCTAGGCTCACTTCAATACAGCTTTGTTGTTATGGTTATAAAATTAGTGCTTTAGTGATTGAGCAAATGGAAAGGTTTCTGGTTTCCCACTAAACTAAGAACAGCAAATTGTAGCTTCTGTTGGGAAGAGAAATAAGTTCAATTTGCACAAATTCGGACAATGAATCCACCAAGGCTCTCTCCAAAGTTTGTTTTCCATTCTTCCCATTTCCTTCTCTCCTTCTCTTATTCTTTTCCTCCATTCCATCTTCACCAAATTTGAATAAGGGTGATGCTCAGAAAACGCATTGGCTCTTTCTTACTCATTGAGGATTAACCCAATACATATGAAGGTGGATAAATATTACTAAAGGAGGACAAACCCACCACACATATGAAGGTGGATAATTACACAGATAGATAGTTGTATGTGTGGATGCTGGACAAAGAATTTATCTTAAACAGTTAAAAAACAATTCATTATTTTGTGGGGCAAAGATTGAATCAAAATAGCCAAATTAGGCTTGAATCGATTGGATCGTTCAGAGTTCTAGGAAGAAGATGAGACTCATATCACAGATGAAAAGATAAATTATCGAAATTCAAAACAATATGGTCAAATTCTGATGCCATGTAAAAAGAAATTTTCACTGCAAATTCACCAAACGTAAAAGCTAAAACCATTTTAAAACCAAAGAAACAAAATAGTTGAATTGAATGGATTCAAAGCAACAAAAGAAATGGATAATTTCTGCACTATTATTCCATAAGTTTCCCAAGCCATTCTTTACCATATGTTTATGAGCTAATTACGATAAAATTTTCTAGAATCTTATTAGCATGAGAAATGCTAAATTTTTTATTCTCTATTTTTTTCTTCGGTGAAAGGAATATAAAGAAGTATTTCCTAAATATGAAACTTTGCAATCACGCTGACCTGAATATCCATGAAAGCACCTGCACTGCCCTGTTTCTCTATTGCAAACACCTCTACCACTACAATCATTCTTGCAACTCCTACCACCAATGCTCTGCCCATACAATTAATACACAAAGTCCATTAGTTTAATAATATATTAATCAAAATATGCATGGAATTTAGGATTTATGTCTCCATTAGGGGCGGAACAATGAAACTCCAAGGTGGGCAATTTCTCATCCAAAAATTTCAAAATTCTCTTAATGAATTACAAAATAAACAAGTAATTATCAATAAATAAGTAGCTTACACACCTTAATAAATCCTTCTGTCAAAACTCAAGGGAAAAAAAAATAAAATATTTAGAAGAAGTTTTTGATGTAATAAGTTTGCCCACCATAAACAAAGAAGCCAATTCAGCCCCTATCAGACTTCCAATCCACTCTAAAAAGCAATGATAGAATCCATCACAACTAAAATAGTTTTGCAAACCAACATTGAATCCCTACTAGCAAGAGTGGATTTGAAGTATGGGATGGGTTAATTGATAAATTGAACAATTGAATACCTTTTAATCACATAAAAAGGGGGCATTTACATACATACCACACAAATCTAATGTACTTACAGATCTAACACCTAAACATTCATATTTACATGTATACCACTCAAATCTTTAACATCATATCAAAAATACCATCATCACTATCTTTCAAAGGGGGTGTTTGGTAGCAAATTTTTAATGGGATTTATGTTGGATATAACATAAATCCAGCCAAACGCGAAAAAACAGGAAATTAAATATGGTGCCCATTTAAATTCATTTTTCTCTCCCTTCCGTTTATTTTTGGATGTAAATCCAAATTTGTTGAATCCAATTACTTGGTGGATTTAACGGATTTAACTTAAGAAGAAAGTCATGATTATAAGAACTTGAAATAAATTACCAAACACATCTAATAATTTTGACTGAACTTAATCTCAACTGAACCAAACACTATTCTAGATTTAATAGTGTTGAATCCAAAAGTGCCCTGGAAACACACCCAAGATATAGAACATTGAGCAGAGAAAATCAAGAGAGAGTGTGTAATAGAGAATCACAAAAATGCATCACCTTTATTCATGGTATGGCCCTCCTATTTATAAAGATAGGCATCCGCCTTACAAAATTACAGACCAGTCCCCTTAAAATTAGCTTTTAGAGGTATTTTTTAGTAATTACAAAGATATTTGAATAAAATAAGACTGACGGATTAAAATCGATCGGAAAGAAGTTAGACGGTCGTTCGCTTGACCTTAACTCAATCGATATTTGATCTAAAACCCAATAATCTATTAATCAACGTCAATCGTCATCCAGTGGGAAATCCTCTAGCATGTCCTTACGATCGATTGATCCAAACACTTCACTTGCTAGCATTAATCCATTGATGGCTAACAGGAATGTTGAACTATCACGTCATCCTTCTAAGTCGTCCATTCTGCCTTGAGATCGATGCTAAGAGAAATAATTGAATGTTATTATTGTGCAATAATGAACTTCCCAAAATTTTCGTATTCAGATCGTTATAAATAAGTCATCAGATATGGAAAGTTTGTGCCTTCTTTCCTTCTTACTCCTTGGAATTCCTGTCTTTTCCTCTCTGTATCTGCTACATATCTGGCGGAAAGGTGTCGTCTGCTAACAGGGACGCCCTTCTTAAGGCCATGAGCGACATGCGTGAAGTAGAAGCTGACGAGCGAAGTCTCTACAACGGAAATGAGCAAGAGGAGGCTTGTGCTAAAACCACGAACTGAAGAGGGCGAGGAGCGAGTTGGGTCTTCGAGTTTTCTCGCGGGCTCGTTGCAGGAGAGGGCTGCAAAGCAGGCTGGAAGTTGTTCTGACATTCGCCTTAAACGGCACCCGTCAAAGGTAAGTTTTCCTGTTGAAGGAGAAAGAATGTTTCTTCAGATGGTTGTGGGGGTTGTGGTTGCCCAAGGAGGACTTGAGGAGGCGTCAGTCAAAGCGGAGACATGGCTTTGACTGACAAAGAGCGGCTTTTCCACAGAGGGGTAGGGCTAGGGAAAGCTGGTGAAGATGTCCTTCTTACACAATATCTAAATGGGGGCGAATTTCGGGTATATAGCTTGAATTGTCTTTTGTATCTCTTTTCTAGGTGCAGTTACTGAAGTCTTAACTATTGATTCTGTGTCGATAGATACTAAAGCCAGTCCTGCAGATGATGTGACCGTTGTTGAGAAAATCACCCCGGGGAAGTGGAAGCTGTGGAATGGGGCGTAGTGGGGCAAGGTGTTATAGAGCAGGGTGTCGAGCAGGGTGCTGAGTAGGGTGTTGAGCAGGGTGTTGAGGAGCAGGGCGCTGAGGAGCATGGTGTTGAGTAGGGAAGGATGGAGGGAAACTTATCCCTCGAGGGGAGCAAGAGTGTGAGTTGTCGGGCACTGCGTGGGAAAAGGAGGCGACGGGGGGTGCAGGGTTATAGTGCGTCGTCTTGCTAAGATAGATGAGTGTTTCCTTCGTTTTATGGGTTATCCTTTAAGGGATAGTGACAAAGGAATTATTGAAGTTATGAAAAGAGTTAACCGAGTGGAAAAGTAAGTTGTTACATTTCACGAGGAGCTTGCTGTTTCTCGAGGGGAGATGCTTGACGAACGTGAGGAGATGACGCATTTGTGTTTGGAACGGTGGGCCATTAGAGAGGTCTTCGCTGCTCAGCCGAGGGTTAATCAAAATGACCTATTCAAGCTGGGCGGCGATTTTATGTATGAATAGCTTCGTCGCCGAGGACTTTTCTCGAACAATCGCTTAGTTGTTTTTTTCTTTCTAGTTGTAACCGAGGGTTTGACTTGACGCCCCCCTCTTTTTATATATAAATAAAATATATTTTTTGTTTTTAGTAATGATTACTTTGCTCTGGGTAATGTGTAATCCCGTCACATCAATCTTGTCGACGGCGTTTCGCCTACACCTATACTGCCCTTTCATGTATATTTACGTAGTTGTGGCGGCTGAGAGCCATTGTTCTTTCCTCGTTTCTCTTGGTACTTGGGCTATTAAAATGGCTCGTTGTTCGCGAATAGCTCGTGTTCGGCTCGTTATACATGTTAGGCTCGTTCGCTAAGTTAACGAGTCGAACACGAACAAAGATTTCTTTATTCGTGTTAGGCTCGTTTTGGCTCGAAATGCTACTCATGGCTCGAAATTCTACACATAAATCATATATATATATATATATATATATCTGTGTATGTGTGTGTGCGCGTCACAAGCCGTGATCTGTTGGTTGGCAGGGTTCACTATAGATCCTGTAAGTCCCATTAGATCACATGTTCGATCCCCAGTGGCGGTGGGTTCTCGAATATTTAGGCACATGGCGCAGGCTCTCATCATAGGGTCTAGCGCATGGGAAATCGGTATTTAAGTCTCTGTCTGATGAGTAATATTTTTAAAAAATTTAATTAACTACAAAGCTACAAAGATTTATAATCAATTAAAAGTATTATTTAAGAAAATAGAATAAAATTTATTAAATTAGATTCAAATGATGTTTTAATATAAACAATAAATTTTAAATTTTACCCCAACCCTTAATATCTTATGGCTACGTGATTGGGCTTGTCAAAACGACACTTTGTTCGTGAACAGCCCGTGTTCGGCTCGCCAAACAAACTAGTCAAACACGAACACACTTTTTGAGCTCGAAATATAAACGAGTCGAACACGAGTGAGCCTCGTTTACACCGCTCCTTGGTGCAATGTCTTAGGCTCCATGGTTCGGAAGTTCTGTCAAGAATCATTTGGTTTGATTCCTGCTCAAAAATTTCAGTCCTCACTGTGGCGGACGTAGAGATCCAGAATCGTCCATTCTGGACTCTATGATTCTCCTGCAACCGGCAACAAGCCACGCGCGGGCTTCATACAATTATTCTCCTGACTTACTTTTTTACAAAGATCACTTTAAGATGGGTCTTTGATTATCGTTTTGTCGAGAGTTGCGGTTGGTTTTCAATCGCTATGGGATCATTCCAACTCAATTTCTTCCTAAATCGGTCGCCACCGTCATGACTTGTGTATTTTTTTGTCGAATGATGAAAATTTCATGGTCAATTGAACTCTTCAACCACTTATTTTCCATTCAGGTCGATCGCAATGGCTACATTCAATTCATCGCAGATCCTAAGATCCAACAATTGGGCCTTGAAAACAGAGTAAAGGACTGGAAGACGAAGTTCTTGGTTGCCTCATGTGAGAGTGGTTAGGGAATCCGTACTTCTCTTACAGCGTGCGAGGTAAGGAAAGTGAAGATCTTACCTAGGAATGTTCGAGATCATAGGGCACTGATTAAGGGTCGGCGTCTCTCTTTATTTCAACACCTCGACTCCAAAGTGATCCAATGCATGATTTGTCGTGATGGTGCTGATATCATAACCAAGGATTTGTGGAGGTCGGTCGACAACAGGGAGGTTGGTTTGCAGAAAGTTGCTGGAGAGAGGACGGCTTTAAAAATTCCTCGTGGGAGAGGCGTTCCTCCTCCACTAGGCAGAGGTAGAGGTAGGTCTGACTTGATTAGGTCGGCCGAGGGGGATGCTGAAGGTTGGTGTTACCCATTTTCTTACTTTTTTGTGTGAAACGCACTTACGGGTCCCTTGTATAATTTGCTAGATTCTTCAGAGAGAAGCGAGAGAGACTCTTCGAGATCGCCCAGTATTCCTGACTTTGGGGGTCTGCCTGTGCATTTGTCGGTTGGAAAATTTTGGGTGGCAACGGAAAGACCTCTCTTATAGTTTTGCAGGAGAGAGATGAGGCGAGTCACGCCTCCCGTCCCATTTCTGTTGGGACTAATTCTGAGGAGCAAGGGGTCGTGGAGCAATGGAGAGTGATGTCTCTCGAAAAGGTCTAAGCCCCTGATGAGGGCTTGCCCCCCCCCCCCCCCTCCACCTATGCAAAAGAGGGTGGTTCCGCCTAGGTGGCCATTTTCGCACGATTGAGAATCCAGAGTTTGGACGGGCGGTCACTACGCTCTTATTGATAGACAGACCTAGTAATTCTCAAACACTCCTTTGGATGGGGACTATCCCTCGATTCTGATGGAAATGTTCTGGTCTACTGCCTCAGAGAAGACATTGAGGTCGATGGACAGAAGGACATGTTCCAAGCGGCCGATCGATATCCTTCCCTTGCCTGGGAGGCTTCGTACTTCTAGGGGCTTCTATTGGATAGAGTCGGGCAGAAGGCCAGGAGGTCCACTTTGCGAATTTGGAGGTTGAAACGGAGAGTTTCTATGGCAAAAGAGAAGTTAAGACTTTCCATCGAGGAGAGGAAATTCAATGGTCAACAGCATGAGGTTCAGGTGACGGCCCTTCTGAAGGAAAATGAGAACTAAAAGAGAAAATGTCTTTGATGATTACCTGAGAGGCATACGTCGAGGGTCGTTCTCATCAGATTGCAGTCGGCACTTCTCTCGCAATCGAAAGGTTCGTAAACCATAAGCCGGTTGACCCCAAGTGGCAGAAGATGGAGAAGTTTGGGACGCTTCTTTCAGATTCAGAGAGTGGAGGAGAGTCATCGCACGAGAAGTCTGATGGTGTCAAGGGTGCGGAAGGAACTATGGAGGCGGACTACGAGGAGTCTTCAAATGTCCATGGTTGAAACTGTCCCTTTTATATCTTTTTGTTCTTTTGTGTTTCTTTTTGTTTCGTTGTAAGGAAGATTTTTATTTGTAAACAAAATTTAATGATATAAGGAACCTTTTGAGGATGGAGGCTTTATTACCCCTGCCTTTTCTCCTTCAACTGATGGGTTTACTTGTTATGAGTTGTTAGCGAGCATATGTATATATGCGTGTGTTGGTCGTGATCTGATGTATTTCTTATATACAGTCGTTACACACCCCTCACAAACTTTATCGTTGTTGGGTGTTAACATAGTAATTCGAGCTTAGAATGGTCGTTTACACACACCTGGTGAAGTTTGTCCCTGTCAGGTGCTAAAACGTCCCATAGGCTGTTGGTGGCGCTGGACACCCCTCGCGGAGCTTGTCACTGTCAGGTATATAAACGTCTCATAGACCGCTGGCAATCATTGGACACCCCTCATGGAGCTTATTGTTGCGGGTGTAATTCGGGCTCAAAATGATCGTTTAAACACCCCTGGCGGAGCTTTTCGCTCTTAGGTGCTAAAATGTCTCATAAATCGCTAGCGATCGTTAGACACCCCACGTAAAATTTGTCGATACTGGGTATTAACATTATAATTCAGGTTTAGAATGATCGTTTACACACCTCTCGCATAGTTTGCGTTGTCGGGTGTCAAAAAATCCTATAAGCCGCTGGTAATTGTTAGACAACCCTCACGAAGCTTGTCGCAGCTGAGTGTTAAGGTTATAATTCGAGCTCACGACAATCGTTTACACACCCCTCACAGAGTTTGTCACTGTCAGGTGTTGAAACATCCCATAAGTCACTGACGATCATTAGAAATCCCTTGTGGAGCTTGTCACTGCCTAATGTTAACGTTATAATATGGAATTAGGATGATCATTTATACACCCTTCGCGGAGCTTGTCGTTGTCGGGTGTCCAAACGTCCCATAGGTCGCTGACGATCGTTATGTTGATTGATTAGTTTTAATTTATCACAAGGCCAGTTTCCCTCGCGTGATAGTGTCAAATCCCTGAGCATAACAGTGTCAGTTCCCCGAGTGCGATAGCGTCAGTTGCTTGAATGCGCAAAGAAAATAAATGTGAAAATATTGTCAAAGAGATGTTAAATATGAAAATCCCTAACTTTTAGATGTCAGGTATGTAAAAAATCCTTTCATTATCTTCTCGAGGGACCCCAAGATTACCTCAGGATTCATCATACTGGGATGATCAGTGGTGTGGAGCCTTCACTTGCCTCCTTTGATCCTCGTGACGATGGGTGGAGCTGTTACCGAAATGAACTTCGTAGCGCGAGCATATGATCTGTCATAGAGTTTGTCTGGGCGGGCTTCGGCTGTCTTGCGATGGCCTCTTCTGGAGTCTTTGTTTGGAGAGCTCCGGGGCATTCTTGTAAGCGGCAATGTACTTATTGGCCATTTCTTGGCCATTTCCAACAGCTCAACGAAGCTATGCAGCACTGCAAGGTCGAGCTCGAAGCGGAACCTCTCCGACCTCACCCCTTGTGTCAACGCGGCTTGGGCCATGTAGGATTTCAGATCTTTCACATCGAGCATTTTCTCTAGAATCGTGGATGAAGGATCGCAAGCTCTCGTTGGCCCCCAGCTTCAGTTGCCATAGTGGTCAGGCATCTTCCAGGGCTGCAAAGCGCTGGCGAATTGCGATAAGAAGTCTCCTAAGCTCCGAAAAATAGGTGATTACCCCTGCGGGTAACCCGTCAAACCACCTTAGCGCAAATGATCTTAGCATCAGAGATTTTTAACAGGCATATGAATAATTCAAACGAAGCGAGGTAATCGTTAGGATCCAACTGTCCTTTGTACAGTTTTAAGTCGGGCATCTTGAACTTCTCCGGGGGTTCAACTCCCGAGTCATGCAAGGAGAAAGCATTTTTCGACTGCCGTTGTATCTCGATCCGCGCTTGCCGATTCCTCTCCTCCACATGGGCGGATTTGGCGCTCTCTTGATACTAGGGGTGTAAGCAAGCTGAACACGAGTTATATTTTGAGCTCAAAAAGTGTGTTCGTGTTCGTCTCGTTTGCTTAACGAGCCGAACACGAGTTGCTCACGAACAATAAGCAGCTTTGATAACCCCAGACATGTAGCCTTAAGATGTTAAGGGTAAGGGCGATATTCAAATCTTATTATTTATATTAAAATATCCATTTAAATAAATTTTAATATATATTTTTCTGTTTTCTTATTGATATATATATATAATTGATTAGTAGTATTTCGAGCCAAAATGAACTGAACACGAATCGTGTTCGGCTCGTTAACTTCTTAATAAGCTGAACATGAGCTGCTCGCGAACAACGAGCCGTTTTGACAACCCTACTTGATACAACCTGTCGTCGGGTTTCTCTTGCAGGTGGATCACTCTTATCCATTGTTTGTCGGTTGCTCCCCTTGAGGAGGGTTAGGTGCTACTCGCTGGGCCGGTTCTCCTCCTGGAATCAGGATTGCCCCCAAGGCAGCCAAGGCTCTAAGCACCTCTGCAAATTGACCCGACATTTGCTTGGTGATCTGATTCTCAAATCTTGCAGGTCTTGTTGAACGAATTTTTCTATGAACTCCTCAGTGCATGTTGTTTTATCATGTTTTTCTCACTGGATTCTCCCTGTCGTTATTGTGGGGCTCCTCTTCTTGTTGACGGCATGGTTCCACACTCACCGCATCTTAAAAGATGTTGAATCCAAAAGTATATGGAAAACACACCCAAGGTATAAAATATTGTGTAGAGAGAGTCAAAAGAGAGAATGTAGTAGAGAATCACAAAAATGTGTCACCTCTATTCATGGTATGAGCTTCCTATTTATAGGGATAAGCCTTAGTCTTACAAAATTACAGGTCAGTCTCCTAATCATTAGTTTTTAGAGGAGTTTTCTTAGTAATTACAAAGATATTTGAATATAATAAGACTGGTGGATTCATTTAGGTCGGCGAGAAGCTCGTCGGTCGTTCCTCTGACATTAACTCCATCGATATTTGATCTAAAACTCAACAATTTATCGATCTATCTTAAGGTCGATTGTCATCCAGTGAGAAATCCTTTGACACGTCCTTACGATCGATCGATCCAAACGTCTCTATTGCTAGCATTAATCAGTCAATCGCTACAGAAGTGTTGATCGATTGTGTCACCCTTCTGAACCGTCTGATCTGCCTTGAGATCCATGCTGGTGCATTTTTTGTGTACAAAACTATATGTATTTGATAAATCTAGATTTGTTGGGTTTGTTAAATCCTATTAAACATAAATCCTGAGCGCAGCCAAACACCCTCTAAAAGTGACAAAAATATTTTCATGCATAAGTTTATGACGCCAATGTGTTATGCTCTTATAGGTGTAAAAATCAAAATTTGGGCGTTAGAAATGTAAATACATAAGAGTTGAGTGGTGCGTATGTAAATTTCCAAAAAAAATAAACTAAAAATGTAGGTACCTCAACAATGTCAACTTCCTTGGAGACAGAATCACAGCCAGAAAGCCATTTCCCAATCTCAGGCCTCCACGGCGCACCGCGGTATTTCACCGCCCCATAAGAATCCACAGGAAATCGAGCATCGAAATCAATATCCAGATCCAAACTTTGATGAATTTCTCCACCAGTCGAAGGACTTAAAGAAGACCGCCCACCAAAGTAATCCAGCGAAGCAGGAAAAATAGGCGTGAGAAAGAAATGCACCACCGAAACCACGACCAAGAGAGAACCCACCATCGCCACCAAAGACCATGAGAATCTCGAGGATTGAAACGAGACCATTCTCTCTCGAATTTTCACTTCAAAAATCCTCTCTCAAACACACAAAAATCAATCACAACATTCGTACCTCCTCAACCGGAAACATGAAAACAATCTAGAACGGAGAGCATCAAAAATAATAAAAAAAATGAAATTTCATCGAGTTTCAGGAAAAAAATAAACGAATCCGGCACAGATTAACCTCTAAATCAAAAAAAAAATGTAAGAAAAAAGAAGAATAACAGCGGATCTGCTGTTTCTGTTTTTAGAAATTGGAACTAAGGAATAAGGAATTGATGACAGAAAAGAAAGAATCAATCCGCAACTCATAAAAAACAAGGTTTCGGAAGGAGAACGTGGGAGTTAGTGGGGAAGAAGGGTAGAAGAAGCCAGAGGGGAGGGAATGCCGCCAAGCTCGATCCCGCGGGTTTGAATTGATTTATTTCGTTGCTGCGATCACGCATCAATTATAAAGATGAATCGATCATATTTTATTTTAATAATATTAAGAAATATATTCTCCGCGATAAATTATCATTCGATCGGGAGCATGTTCAGTACGGCTAGAATAAAAAAAGGAGAATCTGTAGTGTCGTTTCAGCGAAACATGTGGAGAAAAATTTACAGAAATACCGCCGAATTTTTTATGTATTTACTGTTAATTAAAAGCAAATGGGTCATCTTGATCGTTAGAAGATCCAATGATCTTCAAGAGAGGAAGCACGATAAAGAAGAACCCACTTACAAATGATAAAGAGGGCAACTTATCCGGTCTAACTCAATCGGAATAAAGCAAGATAAATGAGTATATGAACTAATCATTACAAGAATGTTGAGCCTAGAAATAGACCTACTACAAGAATGCAGAGGGAAAACATTGACCTGCCTTTTGGCGGATCTGACTTAAGAAAAGAGTTCAATTCATCAACATCATCAGTGGATCCCACAGACGACCTGAAGACTAATCATCAATGACCAAAAATTGACAATACAATAGAATCTTAAAATCATCCCAAAAGACCCCTTTGTCGAATAATGAGCTATATATCAGTTTACAGTGATTCAAACTCTGCTAGATAGGCAAGTTTTGTCCTGCAAATAGGAGCTCTTTATCCTTAAAAGTCAAGATTAGGAGCTCTTATTGGCATGGATCGAGGATTTATGATCATGCTAGATCAATCGATCAGGAAGTCAGTCCTGCCAACCCAAAGTTTATCGAGCTTAGCCAACCAGTAACACCGACTAAGCTTAGCCACGACCAGCCTGACATATGGACAAATTAGGATTAAACATATCTAATATGTAAACAATATATTTACATTTATAATGCAAATGAAATGAGAAATATGCATACATAACACAAAATTCTTAAGTATTTACATATCTAACTCGTAAATTTTTTACCTACACAAAAGAAATAGAACTCTTATTTGTGTCCCACATTAGAGAAAATCTCAGAATTAAGACTATAAAAAGTCACATATATCCGATATATTTAATATTAACTGATAATAAATATAATTCGCTTTTTAAATAGTATAAAAATAAATTTGTATAGAGTTTTCTCCAATGATGAAAAAAACTAATAAACTTAAGTTTAACTTTAAATATGTAAATATAGAAATATAAAATAGTTACAAAAATAGATATTACTAATTCACTCTTTAAGATAAAAATATAAAAAATACAAATTGCTCTCTTAGTTATTAAAATAGTTAGCAATAATGTTAAATATTGTTTAAATGTTTTAAGTTTGATTATTGATTTAGTTTAATATTATGATTTTTAAAGTTATTGTTAAATATTCTCATGTTTAATATTGTTTTAGAGTAACTACTAAATAAATTGAGTTTATAAAATTAATCATAAGCTATAGCTCAGCAGCCTCGTTGGGGATATCCTCAAGAGCGAGCAAAATGGTTCCTCAAAGAGAAAGATGTCGTCATCCAATCGGGCATCGAGATTCCCAATTAGGTATGGATCAATTATATGAGTAAGTGCTCTAACTAATACGATATGTTTGTTGGCAAGGCAACGAATTATCCAAGTCGTTTGTATTGTTAAAATGGATCAGGTGGACCGAGTGGTCCAACCCATGTGGGATACCTCTGTTAGGAATCTATCAAGATTCTTATTGGGGATTTCTCAAGAGTGATGGGGTCATTCCTATTGGAAAGGTATCGTGAAGTAATCGGACCCCAGGAGTTGGATGGGCACACCAATTCATCTCTAAAGTGCTTCTACTAGCTTTGGCAAAGCGACCCTCACCGAGGATTCCTCAAAGGCTATTAGAGTAGTCCTTATTTTAGGAAGTTTGAGATAGCCCAACCTATAGAAGGGACTTTTCTCAAACACCTGAGAAGGAGACCCGAATGGGGTTCATTGCAGGTATGAAGATACCCGCTTAGGCGCGGATCGATTAATGGACTAGGCGCCTAGAAGCCAATCCCGGGCACTAGGCACCCAAAACTACTCAAAAATACAAATTACTCTCAATCTTTGAGTGTTTGAAAGGGAAATGGACTAGGCGCCTAGAAGCCAATCCCGGGCACTAGGCACCCAAAACTACTCAAAAATACAAATTACTCTCAATCTTTGAGTGCTTGAAAGGGAAAGGGAGAACTCCATCTTCTTCCTCAAGGAGCTTAGAGTTTGGAGCAAGGAAAAAGGAGAAGACCCTTCATCTTCCTCAAAGAAAAGCTCAAGGGAGTTGGTTATCTCCCAACTTCTCCTACTTCTTCCATCTTCTTCCTCTTTTTCCACCACTTCATTTGAGTGTGTGAGGAGAGCTTTATGAGGAGTTTAGCCAACCAAAAATCAAGGTTCCTTCTCTCCTACACCAAAGGAGAGATTCTTCCTAGCTTGGGGAAGGGTCGTCAGAGCTTCATTAAAGCTTGAAACTTCACCGGAATCTCGCTAGAATGTCCTTCTAAAGGAGAGCTTCTTTGTTCTTTGAAGGAGTGGAGCAAGCCTCGCCGGAACTTCACTGTAGCTCGGAACCTCACCGTAGTTTCGTCTTCTCTCCTATCATTAGGAGAGCCTCTTCTACGAGAAGAAACGCTTTGATCAACCATCGCATAGGTGAAACTCCTCAAACTCTTGCATTTTCTTTCTTAGTGGACCCAATGAATAGAGTTTTCTAGGTGTTGTGGGTTTTGGTCGCCCACACGAGGCGGGTATGACCGACTACGCGATATAGTATGACTCAATTGATCACCTGTTATCGAACAATCTGATTGGTTGAATGATACCAGCCCTACCATAAGCCTATTGATTTGTCGTTTATTTTCTAGAGGAAGCCCTAGGTTGGGAAACACATCATGGAAAAATCCTTTGCGAGGCCTAGTGACTTCCTGTTGCAAACCTTAGACCTAAATCTTATTAGCAAGTTGGAATACTAATCTCCCCTTGCTTTGTCATTCCTTTGAGGGCTGAGATATTTGGATTTCGTGAAATGAGAAAAGCTTTGTAGCTAGCTCGCTTTACAAAATCAAGAGAATTTGTGAAATGGGAAAAACTTTGTAGCTAGTTCATTCCATAACATTGTGGAGAGTTTATTTTTGACAATCTGAAGATGAAGCTCCCCTTACGCTTGCTAAAGAAGGAAAAGGCTATGTCGCACATTCAAGTGCTAAACTCGAGGTAAATAAGCGAGAACAATAGCATGAGTATGGCTTACTATCGATCGTGATCAGTTGCATTTTGTTGTGTTTGTATTACATCCCGCACTTTGCATGTTGCAGCGCACTTTGGTTTGACTGGCTGCCCTGGCTTGGTCGACCATTCACTTTGGTCCAGCCTACCGCCACAGCTAGGTCGGGCACTCACTTTAGTCTGACTGGCCACCCTAGCTCGATAGACCGATCACCTTGGTCAGACTGTCCACCCCGGCCCCGTCAACCAATCACTTTGGTTCAGTTGGTCAACTTAGCCCGACTAAGCCCGTTTGCTATGTTGCCCTGGGTTGACCATCCCGGTCAACTCAGTAGGTCGAGCAACCAACTTCATTTTCATGGTGCATGTGTTTGCATGTGCATTAATGTTGTTTGCATGGTGTTTCGTATAACTATTATCATATGCTTGAATTGCACTTTGAGTGTTTATTTGTACACTCACCCTACTTGTGTGATCTCTTCAGTGAAGATCATCGTGCTCCCAAGTCAATGCTACTTGTGATACGCTCGTTCTTTTGGTTGTTTCCTCCATGACACACCCATCTCTTCTGAATTAATGCCTCCACAACATACCTATCCTTTGGATTGCTGCCTCGACGACACGCCTGCCATTTTGGGTCACTGCCTCCACGACACACTCATTCTTTGGGTTGTTGCCTTCACAACACGCACACCCCTTTTGGGTCACTACCTCTATGGCATATCCATTCATCTGGTTGTTGCCTCAAGACATTTCCAACATTTCGGGTCACTGCCTCTATGACACGCCCATCTTTGGGTCGCTGCCTCCATGGCATGCCCACCTTTCGGGTTAATGCCTCTACGGCATACCCATTCTTTGGATCATTACCTCCTTAGCATACCTACCCTTTCGGGTCACAGCCTCCCAACATATCCATCTTTTGGGTCAGTGCCTCCATGTAACACCCCCACAACACGCCCATCCTTTAGGTTGTTGCCTCCACGACACGTCCATTTTTTTGGGCCACTGCCTTTATGACACACCCACCTTTTCAAGTCACTGCCTCCACGACACAGCCATCCTTTGGGTCACTGCCTCCACGACATGCCCATCTTTTCGGGCCACTGCCTATATGACACAGCCACCCTTTCAGGTCATTGCCTTCACGGTACACCCATTCTTTGGGTCATTGCTTCCACAACACGTCCACCATTTCAAGTCATTGCCCTTCATGCTATACGCATCCTTCTGTCGCTACCTCCATGGCACAACCACCACTTCAGGTCACAGCCTCCACGACACACCCACATTTCTGACTCATTGCCTCCACTACACACTCACCCTCACTACTCTTATGTATGACTATTCGCATTTGCATTTGCATGAATACCGAGCCAAACTCAATAAGCAGGTGACCCCTGGTCGCAATGGCTTAAAGAGCATTGATTGTCGGGTCAATCCCGACAAGCAATGTAAGTTAAAGCATCGAGACTAACGCAAGTTATGGATTTGCCTTTAATTCATGCCACCTTGCATGTTATGGATTTGTCTTTAATGACCCTTATTTTAAAACTAAAAAAAGAAATATATTTTTCTCCTTATTGCATCCACCATAATTTTAAAATTATGCATCAGTACATTATGTCATATGTAAAGTTAAATATTTTGAATTTCTTATTGGGCAACATTCTTTAGATCCCTTGGATATTTAGGACGGGACCGACGTGACAACTCCGTAAACGTCATACATACCCGGAGACTTACCTTGCACTCTTAAATAATAGTTAGGACACTTCTCGTTAAATGTTGTGCTAGGCTAGGACTAGCCTGT